TTCGTAGATCAGGCCGGAGATACGTTTGACACCACCGCGGCGGGCTAACCGACGGATGGCCGGCTTGGTGATTCCTTGGATGTTGTCCCGCAGCACTTTACGATGACGTTTGGCGCCTCCTTTTCCCAAACCTTTTCCTCCTTTGCCGCGTCCGGTCATTGTTGCTGATTGTCGTTCGGAGAGCTGCGTCGGACTGATGAAACAAGTCGAATGATGCCCGGACAACGTTTTCGCGTCGTATTTATGTAATCGGGCCGTCGCGCGGACCAATCACGGCGCGGTATCGCGCGAACCCCCTCTGTTTCGGCAGGCCGTTCCGTCGACCAATGAGAACTCGCGCCTACTATCCGAATTTGTATATAACCAGCTCGTTCGGTGTGCGGAGACACATTCGACCGTTTCGAGTTTTTACACACAGTCTACGATCTACCGACATGGCCCGTACCAAGCAAACCGCCCGCAAATCTACCGGAGGCAAGGCTCCCAGGAAGCAGTTGGCCACCAAAGCCGCCCGCAAGAGCGCACCGGCGACCGGAGGAGTGAAGAAACCCCATCGTTACCGTCCCGGTACCGTGGCTCTCCGTGAAATCCGTCGTTACCAGAAGAGCACCGAGCTGTTGATCCGCAAATTGCCGTTCCAACGCTTGGTCCGCGAGATCGCCCAAGACTTCAAGACCGACTTGCGTTTCCAGAGCTCGGCCGTCATGGCTCTGCAAGAAGCCAGCGAAGCGTACTTGGTCGGTCTGTTCGAAGACACCAACTTGTGCGCTATCCACGCCAAGCGCGTTACCATCATGCCCAAGGACATCCAGTTGGCTCGCCGTATTCGCGGAGAACGTGCTTAATCGTCTCAATACACTACAAATCCTCTTTAAAACGGCCCTTTTCAGGGCCACTACATGCGTTACAATTATTTCTTTATAGACCTTACAGCGGGCGCCGCGCTGTTGGTAAAATGAATACAACAGTTTTGTACTTAATAGTTTTATTATTATCGACGGTGGTGGGTACCCCCCCGAGAATGTTGTTACTTACATTTTTAAATTAATGTTGAAAATTCCCAACGACCCGTTTTTATTGAAGTATTATTTATATTCAAAAAAAAAGCGGGTAAAAGAATAGGCGGTAGACACGGCGGTGGCGATGGACGACGAACGGGTCGGTGTAGCGTTAGGCACAGTGTGAAACGTATTTTTGGCGCGCGCGGGAAGTAGTCGGCGGCGGCGGCCGCGTTATAGTCGATATGAGTTTGTTAGGTTGTAGAACGCGGTGTGTAAAGGAATTATTATTTTCTATCCGGTTTGTCCGACGGGAGGGATGGACGCGTTACTAAAAAAAAAAAAATAAAAAACCCCGTAGATTGTGGCGCGTCGTTTAAAACTATGTTATCTGAAAGTAGGTAGATACGGGCTCCGCACGTTTCGGCGGCACTGAATTTAAAACACACGGAGAGAGTGACGATATCAATAGGTTCTGATAAGTTTGTGAAAACTGAAAACTAAATAATAATATATCACTTGCTAATGTGAAATGGCCATTGTTGAGCTGGCGTTTGTATTTTGTGTATCGAATAGCCTATGTACAATTGATTATAAAAGTCAAATTTTTTTTTGAAATTTTGGGAAAATATGAAAAAACCCGTTTAATAAAATGTCCAAAACAAACAGTTGTTACCTGTAAATTGCAATTTTTTTTTGTAAAAAAATATTTTCCCAACCACGTTTAAAATGAAAAAGTAAAGTAGGTTCGGCACTCAAATGTGAGTAAACGAAAAGTTTTGGACTATTTCTGGAGTAAAAAAAAAAGAACATGACGATTTTATTCATAAAATAAATTTTGTACTTCTAATTTTACAATAATAAATTAGCATTTTCGTTTAATAAAATGAGAAATAATCGTTTCCGACTTTAATATTTTAAAATACAATATGTAATACCTATGTGAAAACCGTTATGTTGATAATACGTTTTTATTCGACAAACGGTCCAATATTACATGCCTCATGGCAATTACTGCAGACGATAACTTTTGGAAATGGGCCTACACATAAAGTATATGTTTATCAGGTAAAAAATGGGTTATGGAAATTTATTTCAAGACAAAATAAACCAAAACGTTATCATAAAACTTAAAAATAATAACACCGATATTAATTTTATGAAACGTAATCGGTTTTGTAAACGGGCTACTCGTTGTTCATACATTGTGCTGCCTCGACGATCACGGGCGAGTCTAGATATTTAACAATACTACTATTGAGCAAACGTAATAAATCAGTCTTGGACTTTCGAAAATGTATAAAATAAATTTAAACAAATGTAAAGACGTCTTAATCGCGACGGTTTACTCGTTCGAATCGGTTAACGATTTAATTAAAATAGAGTTGAGCGTTTGGCAGTCTTTTTTTTAATAGAAATCGGGACGGCTTTAATAGCCGAATAGGTAATATATTTTTACAATGACAATTAAAATTGTTTTTACTATTTTCGGTGTAATCTTAAGTCGATTCGGTCGGTGTTGCCGCCGTCAAAATATCGCATAGAGTTTTGATGATAACTACGCGACACGTAAAACTACTAACGACCCAAATTCGACACCGCCCCCTTCGGTCTCTTCATACCGCAGACTCTTAGAGCCTACGCGATAATTTTTCAATACACGTGCAGATTGCGAATCGAAAAGATTTTTTAGTTTAACTCGAAATTAACGAGTCCTAATCGACCTCGAAAGAGGTGTATCGTTGAATAGTCGGACTGGTCGGAACAACCTCCTGCGGCACGTCGGCCGTCGATTTAAAGTGAAAATTCGACCGACCGACGGCTTTGCTATAACGTTGGCTTTAAGGAGAACGAGATTTGTCGCCGTTACGTGATTTTCGAGTGGAAAAAACGAGATGAAACGGAACGGGATCACGTCAAAACGGAAAATTCGATTCCGTAAACGTTTACTAGTCGGTATGGCGGCGAGTATATAGACGGCGTGATGGCCAAACGCGGGTTATACACACCGTTCCTGTTCGTTTTACCAGAGTACCAGAGTCTATTTCAAACCGCTTCACCATGACCGACACCGCAGTCGCCGCCCCAGCACCAGCCGCCTCGTCGCCGGCCCAGGCCAAGTCGCCGAAAAAGAAGTCCGCCGCTCCCAAGGCGAAGAAAGCCGCACCGGCCCATCCTACCACGGCCGTGATGGTGATCGCAGCCGTCAAGGAACTGAAGGAGAAAAAAGGATCGTCGTTGCCGGCTATCAAGAAATACTTGGCCGCCAACTACAAAGTGGACGCAGCCAAGCTGGCGCCTTTCATCCGCAAATTCCTTAAGTCGGCCGTCGCCAGCGGCAAGCTGGTCCAGACCAAGGGCAACGGAGCGTCGGGCCATTTCAAATTGGCCGCGGAAGTCAAAAAAGAGAAGAAGGTAGCGCCGAAAAAGAAGCCGATCGCCAAGAAAGCGGCGGTGTCCAAGGCGCCCGGAGCGGCCAAGAAGAGGAAGAGCACCGGTGCCAAGAAACCGAAATCCGGCGAGCCCGCCGCCAAGAAGGTGAAAAAGGTAGCCGCAGCGCCTAAACCCAAAGCCGCGAAACCGAAAAAGTCTCCGGCCAAGGCTAAGAAAGCGCCGGCCACCAAAGCCAAGGCACCCAAGGCGAAGAAGGTGGCAGTCAAGAAGACGGCAGCGCCCAAAAAGAAGGCGTAATTTGTTAAAAACACTCTCTCTAAACCCTTAAAACGGTCCTTTTCAGGACCACCAAATATTTATAAAATACTAATATACACACAATAAACGTGTGTCGGTCACCGGCGGTGTCTCGTACCGATATTTAATATTTTATAGATTATAGTAATACAAACTACGGTAAGTAACAGTGGTTGAAATGGAATGAAAACGTTAAAGCGACTACAATACGGGTAAATACGTTTGTTATTGTATATTTAGGAAAATGATGTCCTACAGATACAAACTTAGAATAAATCCGTAGTTTATCAACTGTTAGTTGGTATTACCCATAGAATATAAATAAAATAGAATTATGACAATCGTATTTTAAACAGATTGAAAGGGCAGGGGTGACGCTTTACCCGACGCCTTTAGAACGGACGAGCGGGAAAAATTAATAATAATAAAAATACCAACTATAAAAAAATACTTGGCTATCGCAGATAACAACATTTAATTGATTTGACAATACATAGGACTGTCTGGCCAGTCCTAAACCCTAATTGACTTATAATTACAAGTATGGCTGTATGCCCATAAGTAAACAAAGAAAAACAAAACTTTAAATATACCAAAATAACAATAATTATAAAATATTACAAATTGATCTGACTGATTAAAAACGGAAAATAACAACAGACGCGGCCGCTGTGCGTTAAACGGCACACGCGAGAGATAGATAACAGGACAAAAACAAAAAATAAAAACAAATGAGCGGAATGAACGACCCACGTCGTTGGCCGCGGGAAATTATAATGTAATTCAAAATTGATCTATTTCTCAGACCATTCGGTACAAGTCCCGGGCCCTAATAATATAATATATACGCGAATGCAATAATATTATACTCTGCCAGTAAACTGTGTCGTTATGAAATTAACTCGAGTGAGCAGATCACTGTTGTATTTTATTTTAGTTAATAAAGCTGTTATATACATATATGGCTAATTTAAGTGTTATCTATAGCTAATATTGTTTTCTAATTTGTGTAGTGAATTTATATTTTTAGTAACATAATGTGAACAAATTCGCTGAATGCACAAATAAAATACACGTCGTAGTACTAACCAACGACAAACATAATATAATAATGATACAAATGAAGATAACACATACGGCGGTCGTCGACATTGTCCATAAAAAATAAAAAACCCCAGATATTAATAACTTAAATAGGATACACTACGAAGAATAATAATAATATATTATAACGTGTATCAGAATAATAATTTGGTGGCCCTGAAAAGGGCCGTTTTAAGTGGATATAGCGCGCGACTAACATCGAAATGCTCATTTGGAACTGGTGTACTTGGTCACGGCCTTGGTGCCTTCACTGACGGCGTGCTTGGCCAATTCACCGGGCAACAGTAGACGGACTGCGGTCTGGATCTCCCGGCTGGTGATGGTCGAACGCTTGTTGTAGTGGGCCAGACGGCTGGATTCGGCGGCGATGCGTTCGAAAATGTCGTTGACGAAGCTGTTCATGATGCTCATCGCCTTGGAGGAAACGCCGGTGTCGGGGTGCACTTGTTTCAACACCTTGTAGATGTAAATACCGTACGATTCTTTCCTCTTCGGCTTGCGCTTCTTGTCGGACTTGGTGATGTTTTTCTGCGCCTTGCCGGACTTCTTCATGGCCTTGCCTGCGGATTTACCTCCTGGTGCCATAGTAACTGCGGTCGTACACGGTTTGCGGGTCGTCGAAATAGTTAGCCGGTAGCTGGTGGACGAATGATGGTTCGAAAATCGTTTACGCTCATATTTATTACGCGTCGCGACTTGGTTTATCGAGTACGATTTGTAAGAGTCGACGAAAAAACGACGAGTAAGATTAACACTTTGTGTTTAAAGGCGAACCCTACGATTTGCCGTTTTTTCATCGTCAACGTCCATGCATCGAAGAAAAACACGACGAGTATAAACAACACTTTGCACTGAACGTTTATATTTACAAAGTGTGGTTTTTCGTCGTCGTCATTTTCAAACGTAGGCCAACATACAGACGCATTTACGTCGTATAAGTGTATAAATACCGATTTTAGCCTGTTCCGATCATCAGTATCGTCTGGATTTTCTCTCGTTTCACTACACGACAATCTACAATCAAGCATCATGAGCGGACGCGGCAAAGGAGGAAAAGCAAAGAGCGGCAAATCGAAGACCCGGTCGTCCCGTGCCGGACTCCAGTTCCCGGTCGGTCGTATCCATCGTCTGTTGAGGAAGGGCAACTACGCCGAGCGCGTCGGTGCCGGCGCTCCCGTGTACCTGGCCGCCGTCATGGAGTACTTGGCCGCTGAAGTGTTGGAATTGGCCGGTAACGCCGCCCGTGACAACAAGAAGACCCGTATCATCCCCAGACATTTACAGTTGGCCATCAGGAACGACGAGGAGTTGAACAAACTGTTGTCCGGCGTCACCATTGCCCAAGGTGGTGTGCTGCCCAACATCCAAGCCGTCCTTTTGCCCAAGAAGACCGAAAAGAAAGCTTAAGAACGCGTCGTCGCCGTATTTATACATATTAAAACGGCCCTTTTCAGGGCCACCAATATTAACTATTTTTACAACACTCTTGTTGTTTTCGGCATAGATGATGTGTGGCGTTGTGCTAAATATCGTTGTATTATTTTGTCAAGCCTTAGGAAATATTTGTAGCTTAGAATTTCAGCAAATCTACTTTAATTTTTTCTTTAGGTCAATAACAATTTATAAAATATGACTATAACTCGAACTGGAAATAATATTTAAGTGTAATATAAATAAATAATTTTTTTTTTTTTTCCAACATTCCAGTTTGCTATTTAGCTACATCAGCCGGCACTACAATGATAACGTCATTGGTTAATATCGAAATATTGTCATCGATATTAATAGATATTATAGATTTAGATTTAGATCAATATTATATTATTGTGATAGTAAATTAGTACTATATCATATATGTCTATTTCGCCAATGGGCTATAATTATAAAAACCGTATATTACCCACGTGCGATTCTACTACTTGTATAATATACAAATATACAATTAGTATGTTATATTTTTTATATTAAATTATACGTTTAGTTTGTTTTATTGTTTTATGTCAACTAACATGTATGTTACAAAGAACATAATAGTCTGTATGTACCATAAAAAATATTAGTTTGAACAATTACAAATGTATACCGTTAAAAAACTACTCGTGTAGTTATTTATATTATTATAATGGCAATACGCTACAACGTTTTGTCAGTTTTTACAATATATATATACTTGATAAAATTAACTATTATTATGCACCTCCAGTCTCATAACTTAGAATACTCATTAAATATACTCGACTGCATTAAATGACATAAACGTTAACCGACAATTGTAAATAATATAAAATGGTGGCCCTGAAAAGGGCCGTTTTAAAGAACAGTAGGTAGGGTGCAAAGCGAACGGTCGTCGGGAATTAACCCCCGAATCCGTACAGAGTGCGGCCTTGGCGTTTCAGAGCGTAGACCACGTCCATGGCGGTGACGGTCTTCCTCTTGGCGTGCTCGGTGTAGGTGACGGCGTCGCGGATTACGTTTTCCAGGAACACCTTCAACACTCCGCGGGTCTCTTCGTAGATCAGGCCGGAGATACGTTTGACACCACCGCGGCGGGCTAACCGACGGATGGCCGGCTTGGTGATTCCTTGGATGTTGTCCCGCAGCACTTTACGATGACGTTTGGCGCCTCCTTTTCCCAAACCTTTTCCTCCTTTGCCGCGTCCGGTCATTGTTGCTGATTGTCGTTCGGAGAGCTGCGTCGGACTGATGAAACAAGTCGAATGATGCCCGGACAACGTTTTCGCGTCGTATTTATGTAATCGGGCCGTCGCGCGGACCAATCACGGCGCGGTATCGCGCGAACCCCCTCTGTTTCGGCAGGCCGTTCCGTCGACCAATGAGAACTCGCGCCTACTATCCGAATTTGTATATAACCAGCTCGTTCGGTGTGCGGAGACACATTCGACCGTTTCGAGTTTTTACACACAGTCTACGATCTACCGACATGGCCCGTACCAAGCAAACCGCCCGCAAATCTACCGGAGGCAAGGCTCCCAGGAAGCAGTTGGCCACCAAAGCCGCCCGCAAGAGCGCACCGGCGACCGGAGGAGTGAAGAAACCCCATCGTTACCGTCCCGGTACCGTGGCTCTCCGTGAAATCCGTCGTTACCAGAAGAGCACCGAGCTGTTGATCCGCAAATTGCCGTTCCAACGCTTGGTCCGCGAGATCGCCCAAGACTTCAAGACCGACTTGCGTTTCCAGAGCTCGGCCGTCATGGCTCTGCAAGAAGCCAGCGAAGCGTACTTGGTCGGTCTGTTCGAAGACACCAACTTGTGCGCTATCCACGCCAAGCGCGTTACCATCATGCCCAAGGACATCCAGTTGGCTCGCCGTATTCGCGGAGAACGTGCTTAATCGTCTCAATACACTACAAATCCTCTTTAAAACGGCCCTTTTCAGGGCCACTACATGCGTTACAATTATTTCTTTATAGACCTTACAGCGGGCGCCGCGCTGTTGGTAAAATGAATACAACAGTTTTGTACTTAATAGTTTTATTATTATCGACGGTGGTGGGTACCCCCCCGAGAATGTTGTTACTTACATTTTTAAATTAATGTTGAAAATTCCCAACGACCCGTTTTTATTGAAGTATTATTTATATTC